CAGCACGCCAATAGCGGTTATTTGGTTGCCACCTCAAAAAATTCGTGGTCCTTATATAAGAATCGCTACAGACAGCTGGCAAATGGCTCTTTCCATTAATTATATAAGAATCACTACTTTCAATACGGTTTGCAATGACTATTATGTTGACTGAGAGAGTGCAAATRAAATACGACAGCYCTCTTTTTAAATGCTCACATGTATRAAGCTTTTTATTAAAAAACCATACTGGGAAGAGTCAAATATTTGTTCGCCTCCATAACGGCTATGATTGATGGATTTTAGATCAAATGCGGTTGCGGAAACGATTTCGTAAATATCCCGGGMTTTTAAACACAGGAAAAATAACTTTGAATTCTTAGTTTTAAGTAAAGGAACGAGAATTTATCGTTATTAAATACAATATTTCTCAAATACAATATTTGATGAATATTTCGTTTCCTATAACTCTTAAATAAATAGATTTTATGATGCAATATCTTTCTAGAATATAGAATACTTCTTCCTAAACGTAGCTCATGTGACATGAAATCTTCTTAATAGTAACTGAACTGAAAGAGTGTGAGTATGGTTAAGAGTATTCACYAACGAAGTGGAAAACACTAGAAATTTGAGTACCAAAAACCATCACATACTAGACGAGAAAATGAAATRAATGTTGACTATTTCAAATAAATCCTATTCAGACCAAAGTGCACTTAGCAAATGAATTATCAAATCAGAAATGAAGCTCCTAATGTTCATGCCTCAGTGTCAAAATTAAAAGCAACCTTTTGGAATAATRAGATTATAGTAATGGAGAGGCATGTTTTTCAATAGTGAATAAGACTTTCTTGTACTAGGTGAATAGTGAAGAAAGAGACGGACCATGCCATGAAGATGAAGTTGATAGTGGGATTTTTAAGTATCGTTAAACCAGTCTTTGCTTCAATGCCGTTCACACAAAGAAAAAGTTTTTAGTTTTTTAAAAGGAGATGTTGTTGACAGGAGCCTATCTTTATCGATGTACGAGTGCAGTTATGTTGTAAAGATAACTCACCTTCCTTTGCGGCAGTATTTGGTTCCAACTGCTCTGATGGCAACGAAAAATGGAGAATCCCAGTGTATATAATACAATATAAACTGTTGTCCAGAATGCCAGATTTAACTTCCTTATCACATAAAGTCATCGCATCGGTTGTCCAGAATGTCTGCCGGCTTGTCACGATAAATTACCTAATGACAGAAACTATATATTTATATGACTCTGGCTAAATTCAACGACAGCTATTTAGTTAAATAATAATTAAGCTAGGAGCCTGAATGTCGAAGCTAATTCCTTGGTTTGAGAGGTATGATTAAGAGTGGTCAAACTCGGAGGTTTTGTATACTTACATGGTCAGAAAAGATTGAAAACTTCTAGGAGGAGTTATCTGTCAAAACCCTCGAAATCAGTCACGCTATTCATCGAAGGCAAATCCGTTTTCATGAAGTTCTGCGAGATTTAAATATTTTTTACCTTTTTTAATTTCCTAAACCAACAAAAATCTTTTCAAAACCGTGGCTAAAAAATTTGACTTACTAAAAGTAAAAAATCAAAACCTTGCAATCACGTGTCTTATGGCTTTTCGGTCAGCGGGCTTGCACTGACGACAAAGCATGCGCAGGAAGGCGTAAGCGCTGGAGGACTCTGGGTACATTTTCTTGGAATAAGAAACGAGATCATTGMACAAGGGTCCAGCCCTTTCGCTGTCGATTGTACTGGCCAGGCTCCTGATATTGTCCGAATCCCGTGTGAGGAGACTTTCAGAAACTAGTGGAAATACGAAAATATATATATTAGTATAATCTCGGTCGATTTTGAAAATGTTGTGTTTGAAACCTTGTGCAATAAATTAATCCTTTATAAAACTGGATTATTTTCTACTGACTGTAAACCGATTTACATATACATATATTTCTACAAATCCGGCGTGTCTGGAATTAATTCACTGAGAAAAGGGAAAATGGCAAAAAATATAAATTTTTCAACGAGGGGGCGGGAATAATCGAAATTTAAAAATCGTTAAGCTCCAGATTAACTCATCATATACTAACCTATGGTTATCCGCACAGTTTATGTTTTCAGACGGCCAAAGTACAACACTCACCGCATACTAGCGTACCCGACCACTGGCATCACATTTTTTAGCTCACGCGCCGGCGCTAGGAGATATACACAAAAGAGTTCCCAAGTGGGAACTTTGTTAGACCGTCTGGAATGCTGTTACCGACGAAGTCACGCTTTCGTCGCACTTTAATTTATGCTGTATATGGCTACACGTCACTACTGACCATTTCTGCGCCCCCTACTGCAAAAATCTGCTCTCAAATTAGCAACAGTTGATAGAAGTAAACAGGTGAGTCGTATTCCTAAATCAGTTGTGAAGAGATTAGAATTTTGGTCGGAATAGTAGTGTTATGCCCTAGCTGTTATGTTGACGATGCTTGATTGTATTCATGGATGAAAAAAATCATCACTGGATAGTGATTTTTATAGATGGAGATGGTGGATGGAATATTACAATCAGATTGTGCACAGACGGAGCTAAAATAGTAACCGAAAAGTCGAATTACTCTTCAGAGAAAGAAATGATGAATAAATTTCTCTTTCATGACTGATCTAAGTCTGATGCCATGTGAAGGATGATGACTCCGTCRTAAACGAATTTACTAGTAGAAGTCCTCGAGTTGCAGAGCGCTACGCAGCAATGAATTTTATACTTTTCAATGAAACTTGAAATTATATACATGGTACTTTGATCAAGATTGAGGTAGATAGTARGRAAATATGTTTTTTACCGAACACTAACGTAACATGTTTATAAATTCATGTTCAWGAATTGAATATTCATTGATACTATGGAGACATCTATAATAACATAGTTCATTAATAATGCCGTTGCCCCTGACAACCAATCGAGGGAACATAAATAATTTGCCGATTTTACGAAATATGAAATTTGATATGAATTTTAATTCTATGTGAAATGCCTTTTGATTATAGCCAATCTCGTCCCGGAGCTAGCCTGCGTTTCTCCTAGAATGTTGCACCACGCATGCGCAGTTCGCGAAAAAGTGAGCCTACATATGATTGCATGCCCAACTAGAAGAATGTATTGTCCATAGTTCTCTTTGTAAATATAAAAAATAGATAATGTACATTCTTTTTAAAAATGTCAGACGCAAAAAAAAACGAGGACTACAAAACAACTGCTAATTTTGCTAATTTTTATAAGAAAAATAAGAATTCTTCAGCAATAGCTACGATTCTACAAGGTCTGATGTTTCCCATATTTTCTTTTTCTTTATATWTMTWWTTTTTYCTTKGRAGGARGGKWAARSRGGRAGTAAGGTAACAGGTACCGGCTCCATTTTCATGACGATCTTAAGATCCAGCGGACTAACAAAATAAGGAGTTAGGCATGCGCAGTAGCGTTGGAACTATGAACTCATGATCGATTCAATCACTTGTAAAAATAGTCAAAGTTTCTGGGATTTGAGCGAATGAAATGACGTGAAAAACTGAACCAAACTTCCCAAACTAGATCTGAGACAAATTGTTTAGATGTCTACGACAGATTCAGGGCGTCAACTGTTGGATTTCGTGTCTGACAGTCGTGTTAATGGCACTGATTCTGTACCTTACCACGTTGATCCTTCCAGTTACAGCACTGCTATAATCAGTGGATCTGGAAAAAAATACGATACGAGGACGTCAGAACAGAGACCTCTACTAGGACGTGGTAGATCTAGGAATATGGAGAGCTGTAGTGACTCTGAATATGGATCAAACACTATCGATGATCCTGAGTTTGCCTCCATTATTCGATCAGTGGAACAAGCCATCGATGCAGGGATTCTCCCTCAACGAATCTACCAAGGATCAAGTGGGAGTTACTTTGTGAAAAATAAAGAAGGAGTGAGTATTATTTCAAATTGAAAAAAWTTCCTTATTAAGATGGTTTGATACTCTGGCGCGGTAGGATTTCTCATCTCGATAATGATATACCAATATTCATTAATGATTATTCGTAAAAATCCACGATTTCCTTTATTTACGTAAACTTGTTTTAACTCATCATACTAAGTAATGTTTTCTATTTCGTGATTTCATTATTTTTCTGTATTTTWTTTGCGTATTTGTTCTTTATCCCTGAATATTTTGGCCAGAGTCAAGTGTTATTTTGGGAGATTTGTGTTGCATTTATTATTGATTGCCCAGCAGGGTTTGCCAACAAGTGCCAAACAAATRTCGTTGTGCAACAAGCAATATACGAAAGGTCTATAAGCTTATCTTTAAATTACATTATAATTGGTCTTACAAAAAATTTWAAAAAACGATTTAAATTATCCATTTTCAACCATTTGAAATTAGAGGGTTTTATTTGTCACAAATAAAACGTGTGTTAAGTTGTTTTTTATTGTAAATGTTGGAATATTTAAGCTTAACTTTATATGTTTTGATGTACTATGTCTAATTGATTATTTTGTTCATATATGGTTTAATCACTTAAGCAAAAAGTGATTGACTTCACATATTTATTTACAAGTTTCACTTTCACTTTCTTTTTCTCTTCCTCTCTTTTCATTAATATATTCCCCTCTCTCTCGTGGCCCAAAAAAAATAGTAAGAATAATATGTACCAGCTGAGTTGAGTTTCAGAACAAACTCAAGGTTGACCATCCAGAATTGAGTATTCAACATCATATTTTGATTAGCAGTTCCCATGATTCTGCCAAGAGAACCCATGAAATAGGATTTTTTAAATCTTTTGAATTTRTCGTAAATGCTACTAGTTGAACTCATGGTGGTATTCTAGAATCTACATTGTACTCAGTTGCCAGGCCCTGCTAGTTCATTGACAACGAAAAAATAGTTCACCAATGATCYCTTTTGGAGATTGCAGTTAACTCAGCTGGTAGAAGTAGACAATTTATATTATTAGAAGGAAAAATTATAATTAAAGTTAAAATTTCAATGATTTTTTGATTATTTAGAAAACTATAGGTGTATTTAAACCAAAAGATGAGGAGCCGTATGGACACCTCAATCCAAAATGGACAAAATGGTGTCACAAAGTGTGCTGTCCTTGCTGTTTTGGTCGTACATGTTTGGTACCAAATCAAGGTTATTTATCGGAAGCAGGAGCCAGCCTTGTAGATACAAAAATAGGACTAAATGTTGTTCCCAGAACCAAGGTAGTGTACTTGTCAGTAGAAGTCTTAACTGTTTTAAAATATTAGTCTCCTAATTGAGCATGGTTTGGTTTTCAGGTTGTTCGACTTGCAAGTAGTACCTTTAACTATACTGCGTTTGATCTCGCCAAAGCCAGATCAAAAAAGTTTGCAACAGAAAGATTTCCTGATACAATTGGAAAGCATGTTAAAGCTGGTCTACCACTAAAGGTTTGTTTGCAGATTTGTAGGGCATAAATTGACTTGTGTGTGGTATACTTCTAATTATTCTGTAGGCATAATGTTTATCTATTTCTTCACATTTCTCATTCTAGAATTAGCAAGATTTCCCATTTTTCATTTCATTCTTCCCATTTATTTATTTTTGTTTAAGGTTTTCTGCACCAAACATGAATAGAATAGAAATTGTATGATCTTTTCATTAACTGGGAAGAAAAAAATAATACATATCGGGATTGGCCCACTAAAGGGGAAAATCTTGATAAAATACATGTAAGGTTCATGTTCTGTAATACTATAAGCTCTAGAGCCTTTTCCTCACTAGCACATAAGCATAAGTATAAGCATAAGAGTGTACTTCCTGACTGGGAAATTCAGTACATAAGCACAAGCATAAGAAAAATGGAATGTTTTGATCCTAATGCTTTTGCTTATGTTATGCTTGTGTCACTAGTGAGAGCCAGAGCCATATCTTGTATTTTTTTATCTTGAATAGGTTGGATCTTTTCAACTTTTTGTGGAGGGATATAAAGATGCAGAGTTCCACCTGAGAAGGTTTGAAACCGAACCTCTTCCCACCTCAACAAGATATGACTTTATTGTTCAGTTCCAAAAGATGGTCTGCTTGGATTATATCATTAGAAATACAGGTATTGGCTTGATTAACCCTCTTATGACAGTCATTTTCATGGTTATCTCTCATGRTGCTATGAAATCTTTGAAACAGTAATTTTTGGTGATATTGTTTGTGTTCTCCTATAGATCGTGGGAATGATAACTGGCTTATTAGTTATGAAAACACGCCAGAAGTTGACGAATCTGTTAAGACTGAAGATGGAGTAAGTATTTCCTGTAATTAATCAATGTAATTATAGGAGTCACTTAGGGTTTAACCATCAATTCTTTTTGAACCTAAGTTAAGGCATGGCTAAAATACAGATCAAACTGGAATATAGTTGGTTTGGTATAGTGAACGGAGGAAAAACAGAAAGCCTGAAGAACCCTTGAATCAAGGGAGAGACCCAATAAAATTAATGTTGCTTAGATGCCTGTAAATATACAAACCATTCAATTATACATATTTTTTCTGTATTTCAGTGTTGTTTCTACGTATTGCGGTTTTCTCTTTTTTTCATGTATTTAATAATGCTTTATTACTATTCAACATTATATCACATTATATATATAACTATATAATTCTGCAAACTTGGTAGTTTCGAGCTGCACACTGAAATTTGTTTTTTCTGCTGTCAATCAAAAAATAATAATCAGTCTGCACATTTTATGTCCTTGACTAGCAGCAGTAAAAATCCAACTTCACAACAAGCCATTGAAATGTTTGAGTTTGCAGAATATAGAAAACCACAGTAATTGTGTTTATTCTCTGTATTTCTCATGTCTTTAGGAAGCTGCTTGGGATGTCGTGAATTCACCTAAAATTTTTGTTGCTGCTATTGATAATGGCCTGGCCTTTCCATATAAACACCCTGACTCATGGAGGGCTTGTGAGTGAGACTTCTAGACAACCTCTAGAGTAGCTAAAACCTTCTCTTTCTCCTTCTTTCTTCTTCCCTTTTTCCTTTCCTTTTTCCTTTCCTTTCCTGTCTCTTTTTTTTTTCTTTTTTTCTTTACTGTTTTCTTTTTCTTACTTTTGTTTTTGCTCAGTTTTTTGTTTAAATGTTTTTCTAAAGTGATCAATTGATGGTTTTCAACYATTCCCAAGAGAATTAAATAACAAAAGACACGGCAGCCATGTTGGAGGATATAACAAAAGAATTCATTGACAATTCTTTTGTTAAGTTCMTCCAACATGGCCACCGTGAAAAACCATCAATATRCCAGCCATCACAGACAGAATGTTAGTTGTCTCTTTCTGCTACACCTCATGACTGACACACACAAGTCTATTCTTTTAATGTAGTCCATTACTAATACTGAAGAGTGTTTGTATTTTCAGATCCTTTTTACTGGGCATGGCTACCATACGCTAAAGAACCATTCCTTGATGAAGTGTGTGAATTAGTGTTACCCAAATTATCTGATATGAACTTTGTACAAGACTTAACTGATGATTTGTACCACTTGTTTAAGGTATGGGAATAAATGAATTGAAAAAGTAATGTTTGAAGAGAGGTAGGACGGAGAATAAAAGHTGAGTAATCAAACAAATTAATTAAWATTCATGAACATCTGAATACTTTAGATTAACGAATGAGAACAATCAAATGAACAACATCTAAGTAGTAGCATTCCTTCAGAATGCATAAAATGAGCAGTTCAATATTTTTAGTGATATTATTGGTTTGTGCGATTGTAGGAAGATAAAGGGTTTGACAGAGGAACTTATGAAAAGCAGCTTGCTGTCTTAAGGGGTCAGGTATGTGCATTTTTCATCCTGGTAAAGCCTTACCTTTTCCATGTTGTAAAAAGACATATTATTCAAGGGATTGAGATGTGGTAAGAAAAAGGGAAGAAGGATGAAGAAAAAGGAATCAAAATATGTAATGAAAAATGTTGTTCATCTTCCTTCCTTCATTCATTCCGTCCGTCTGTCATTCCGTCCGTCCTTCTCTCTTTCTTTTTTTTTTTGTTTTCTTTTTCCCTTTTCTTTTTCCCTTTTCTTTTTCCCTTTTTTTCTCTCTTTCTTTCTCTCTTTCTTTCTCTCTTTCTTACCTTCTTTACTTATATATTTTGTATTCCCTTTTCTAGATTCTAAACCTAAGTCAAGCATTACGGGATAAAAAGTCACCACTCCAGCTGGTACAAATGCCAGTAGTAACAGTAGAAAAAAAGAGGTTTGAAGGAGAAGATCTTCACCGTCATCATAGTGAATCTGCATTYACACAAAGCTTCCAACACAGACCTCCCTTTTTCTCTTGGTGTTGAGTGCCYCGAGAAACTAGACTCACTAATTATAAATCAATTGAAATTATAATGTTGATAAATTTTATAGAATTTTTTTTCCATCTGTTTAAAAAAAAAAATTAAGGTGGCATAATTTCAAAGATTTTTTTCTAGAGGAAATATTGTTATGTTGTGCTAACATAACGCTACCACATTTAGAATGATCAGTTTTTTTGTTTTGGTGTTATAGTCTATTTGAACAATTAGAATATTTCTAAAAGCAGTTAATTGTTATTTGATTTTTTTCTGAAATGAACATTTCAAGTCAAGTGCTACTATACATAGGGGCTGTGGCCCAAAATATCCCATGATGCACTTCGATTCATTGCAGTGAGTAGCTTCGCAAATACAAATTTTTTATCGCAAGGAAAAATTGTGAAATTAAATTAACGTAACTAAAGTCAAAAGTCAATGCACTCGCCTTTATAAAACTATTGTCATAGATTGTACAGCAATAGAGTAGAATAGCTATAACCTATTGGAGAATGTAGGGTTGTGTGTAGTTTCAATGTCAGTGCGACGTGCGAAAACCACAGGAAGCCCAATTCATGTTATYTCCTTCCTCGTTAACGTTAGAGAGAACTGGCCTGGCACTCTAGTTCATAGGATAAACTGTTGCTTAGAAATAGATGATCTTATTCTGAAAAGGATTAAAATATTTTTTTGAAATTAAGAGTATTTATTTAATTTGATATGCTGAATCAATGATCAATACCTTGTCTTGATAAAGTGCATGCATACTCTGGGATTACACCACGTTATGCAATAAAAATGTGAAGATGTTGACAAAGAATACATTTATAGCACAAATACACGCAATAATGCTCGATTCTTGACTTTCACATCCCCATAATCCTTAGCGTCTTTTGGGGGTAACCAGAGGGTAAAAAACCACTTATTTTGCTGAAGGTTGAACAGACAATGTTGAAAATACCTCGTTTGGTATCCAAAGATAAAACGAAGAAGTAAAAAACAGAAAAAGATAGAAGCTTGAAGACGTTTAAGGTAAATTTTAAACATCTTTTCGTAAGTCAATACATTTTCTGTAAGACCAAAACTCTTGATGATCTGTACACACAAAAATAACTTGGAATAAACTGATAATCAGTATTGTACAGATAAAAGCAGGTATAGTATAAATTCAATTAAGAAACCTTTCAATTTGGGACCGTTTTTTGATTGGTTACCCCCAAAAATGCAAGGCATTATGGGGATGTGAAAGTAGAGAATACAATATTTTTAGCAGAAAACTACCCTTCATTGTTAATTTCTAAATCACCAGTCACTCTACAAAACCTTAAAACCAGTTGGTCTTACTTTGGACTGAAGCATTCACTTATATTCACAGATATTCCATGCTCTTGAGTAGCTCTGCATGGTTAGTGTAAAGCTCACACTTGCATCCCGCGCGAATCTTCTTGGTTGAGGTGGCCCATTCCTCAACATAGATTTCTCTTCCATGTTCAGCACTAAGACCATCATCTTTAACGTAACCCTTACGTTTCAAGGCAGGAAATAGAAGAACCCTCTGTGCACACAAACCAGATGATGCGTAGCATCGGTTATCATGTGCCACTTGTCCTGAAAGGTCTGATATTTCGTGTCCACAAGCCACTTCGTTGATAAACTGGGGCATTTCATCGCCAGCAAGCTGAGTCACCAACCGGCATTCACCGCACAGGTTGATGCGGCGATTCCTCGATCCAGTGATATAGTCTCCTTTTGACCAACAATTATCGACTTTACTTTCACGTTTGACTAGTCTCCTGACAAGGCTCACGTCGTCGTCTTCCAAATCGTTTAGTTTTCTCATCAACTTTTCAAATGGGGTCATTTTCATGCCTTCATCTTGCTTCGCATAATATGGCGTGGAACGCTTTTTGGTGGTCGTGGGAGGCTCAGTGAATCTCGCCGTCGTCGGACTGGCTTTTGTGGTCGGGAGGGTCGTTGGTGGTTGCGTTGGATTGTTTTTGCAATCCGATGGTGCTCGGGTAGCTTTTGGCCCTTCATTAGGTCGCTCTCTTTCAAATGTTCTTGGATCTTTGAATTTATTAGCCCCGGTTTTGTTAATGGCCACATAAAGGGGGTTATACCCGCCAATTTCCTTCACCTTTTCTAGCAATTGATAATCCGTCAGCTGTGCGCAAATTCGTTGTGAGGCTCCAACTGGTGAACGAAGTCGTTCTTTTCTAACTTCCTTATTTAAGCAATCTATTCTCACGACCGTGCTACACTGATCTTCGTGCAAGAGTCGGAGGGGACTCGGACGCGGTGCCAAAGATGATGAAATCATTAGAAAAAAGCAAACCCAGCCAATCTGTAAAATCGGAAAATGGTTAAAAAAATAATTGTTTTATGTAATTATGTTGGTATGCCTGTGTTTTTTCTAAATAAGGGGTTGACGCTTTAATTTGAAGCACGTTGTGCAAAGRATTATGGGTAACCAAGATGGCGGGACACTTCACTCCCATAATCCATTGCGCCACCGAGGCATTACCAGTCCACCTCTGGTTAAAATAATATTTAAACAAAACAATATTGTAAACTTTGAAATTGTATTGAAACTCTTCTGACATACAGCCATGATGTTTAAATCAAATTTCTGTTAATCCGATGTTAAAATGCTTTAAAGAAAACTGCTAATTTATTTGATTATGTCAGGATTGATGACTGCCGCTCAGTTGTCATCTATATTGGCTATCGGTAGTCGATGCGCGCACTTTTTGACCAACCCGCAACGGTTCGTTTATTAAGGATCTTGCCAAATAGTTCATTAAAGTCTAAGGAACTTGTTTGAGATAGATGGCTCAGTTTTATTCGTGAAACGACAACTATTCTACTACACTCACTGGTCACTGCATAAAAATGATTAAATGTAAATGCTAAAATTTTATTCCAATTCATGGTTTTAGTTATTGAGATTTTGTACCCTCCCCGGCATCCGGCATTTGTTGATTAAGTTATTCGCAAAATTTGTTRTAGAAAAGTATATATGGTAGAACTGTGACTGCAAACTGATTTAAAAACATGATTTGTTCGTAAATTTATCSTACGATGTCTTTCAAATAAATCGTTACACGCGAAAAATGTATGGCAGTCGTAACAACCGGCTTTTGTGAACTAATCAATATAAAGCCCACGTCACTGAAATTTTAAATGACGTTTCGTTAATAAAGCAGTGATATTAAATTAATTGTGAATATTTCGGTGTTTATTAAATTGAAAAACTTACCATTTTGTTTGCGATTTAGCWCTCGCAAATGTTACAAGATTTCTTTGAAGAACGACTGAGTTAAAAGTTCAACTGTGCAAGTTTCACYCGTGACTCACTTATTAAAGGCCACCGTGTTGTGCATGAGTATATATGAGCACCRACCTGAATTTTCCGCTTCAGGCTTCAAATAAGAATAGCGGACTTATTTTTAAAACGCTTCATTAAATGAATGATTCATGAGGGTGTTTTTGCCATTATATTCGGTCCAGTTAAGCGAAACTTGGCGACTCTAAGGAGCACTAAAACAAATGACTGGGAAAATACTAAGAATTTAGAAAAAAACATTGAAATTCAGGGTCTTTTTTCTCTATTTTTCACAAGGAGACTAGCGATATACTCATGATCAGCTGTGGTCATGAGCCAAAACGATGCACACATCTTCAACTAAGCTCTTACTGGATTAATACAGTATTATATATTTGTGTGTGCGTGTGTGTGTGTTTTAAATAAAATTAAGAATTATGTATAATGCTTTATCACCGTTTAGCGATCGTTGGARAGTTTATTAAGCGCAAATTTATGTATACACCTAATTCAAAAAACATTGTCATCGTCTATCGCCTTTGGCAATGCACAACGTTTTTTGAATTAGGTGTATATTGTTATATATATATATGAGAGTAAGTTGATCATATTCAATCGGCGGATATGGTTTAACCTTCACAGTGGCACAGTGATATTGGACGGCTAGACTTAAATAGCGCAGAAAATGTCAAGRYWTAGCCATCATAGTTTCACTGTTGACTACCCAATCATTGCTAATGGGCATACTTTTAAAATCCGCTACTGTCTCGCTAATGACGTACTAAATCAAGGATGGTCTCAAGACACTCGAAACTCAAGTGCTACTCTAAATCGAATAATTTAGGGTTTCTTTGCTTACTTAGGGTTTCTTTGTATTTTCAAGTTTACACGTGAAAAAAAAAAAAGACTTGAATTCTAGATCATACAGCCATAATCAAAAACTTTATTTGACCCTTACATATATATATATATATATATTCTATATACAAGCATATCAACAGTTTAAGTATATCAAAGTATATTAGCCTGCGTTCCATCCGGCCTTTTCTTTCGTGTTTACGAAGAAAATTCCGGATATGACGCAGGCTAAAGTATAYTAGAAATTATATATGGAATTAGAGTGAAGGCATATAACCCGTGAAATAAAAAAAATACTAGTTAACGTGTAATAGTCAAATAGACACAAAAGAAGACAATAGAATTAGGGTCTACTAAAGTGTATTAGTCTAATATCTATTTCACGGGTTTAATGACTTCACTCTATCTTTGATATTTTTTTCGAGTTGCCTATCACTAGGACTGATAAAAATATCGAGTCTAGACGGGTTGAGAGGCGAGTACCGCATTCCACATTGCTTAAAACATGGGTTATTTTTGTCGAGTTGCTCTCTTATGYATATCAAATATTTTATAAGAATCAGTAAACAGGAGAAGAAGAAGACTGGAATAAAAGGAGGAGGACGAGGAAGAGAAAGAGACTTTAATGTATTGTTGAGCTAGGCCTGACGTCTTTACGACGGCTCAGCTCTCTCAATGTTTTGGATGGCATGACAATTCTTGCCATCATAGAGCAGTTTTCGCATGACCGTGAAAAGCTAGTTAAGTTCACGGCACGAAAATCAAATACCCGGAACACGGCATAAACACGGTGCGGACACGGTCACGCCAAGATCACGGCACTTTTAGACCAATCATATTGCGCGTGAAAAAATCAGGCAATTAAAATTCTAGAAAGTACGGTCACGGCACGTCACGCTTATGGCACTGAGCTTTTCACAGTCATACGAAAACTGCTCTATAGGTCCTGGCTTATAACGAGGAAACATGTTTCAAGAATCATCAGGAGCGGATCCAGGGGTGGTGAAAGGGGGTATCTAGCCATCACCTTTTTGCTTAAATTTCTCGGTATTATTCTCAGTATGCCTCCCCCTTTTCCTGGCATTCCTGGTACAACCTTTGTAACAGTCACCTCMCTGCTAAAATTCCAGGATCTGCCACTGAACATGTTTTGTCAATCGTTTCTAAACGTGCTAAACTGTCAGAAAACATTGGGAAACAAGTGTAACGTACTGCAGAAATATAGTTGCTTTCAATTCGGAAGCAAAATCACGGTGTCGCGTGTAAGGCGATGTTTCAGAAGTTGCTAAACTGCGAAACATCGAGGACAAATCTAGCCAGGGCTTTAGCCACAGCGAATATATTATACTTTAAAAACCTTCAAATTTTATCTTTACCTTGAAACAACCYCTGGGCTGAATGAAGTTAGGACACGGCTAACTCCCTACATTTTAGCGCAGGTAATTTTGCGAAGCTATATGAAGGCAAACAGTAGAACCCTTCGTATCAAGGGAGAGTTTAATTCAAGCAAGAACATTTGCATTTTATTGCTGTGACTGAAGATTTATAATTGAAGAAGGCAGTGAACGTCGTCACGCCGAATTTCTACCGAGTTACATATTTCAGTATTATAATCATATATGGGAAACTCTAAGGGTTATAGTAAGAATCAATTTTACACTCAAGGTAAAAAATAAAATAAAGATTTGCTTATCTTACCCTGTTATTTTAGTAGCGACGAACATCGTCATGTTCTTGGTTTTCTTCGCTCTCGCCAGTAGACGTCCTCCAAAACACATTTTAAGCCTAAATATTTACTCATATATCAAGTTTATACATTGAAGAACACATAACATCCGACAGCTTTTATACGCAGGCTTTTTAAATTGCAAAAATAAGAGAAGAATCTTTCAAGATCCCCCAAACCTACCTGTTTCCCGCCACGACGTAAGGTTCCGACGCGTGCGCCCGACGGCAACATCGTATGCTAATTACTAAACTTACTTCCGGTAGACCTCATGTCCGAGACGCCTTCCAGTTGTTTATTAACGGTCTCTTTTGATAAGGGACGAAATAAATGACGATGTTTAGTTCCATTATTTCTTAGGCTGAAAAATCCCCAAAATATCTTGGGGGAAATATATGGAAGTCGATTAATAATGGCATAGGCAAAACAAGACTAAACACTTCGTAGATCTTCACATCGTAGCGCAAAAACATACCATATTTTTTTATCTTCTTAGCGAGTTAATAGCAAAAAACGGAGTGCAATTTGTTTATCACAAGTTTGATTTCAGACCAAATCAGATCACTTTTCTTTTCTGATATCTGATTGGTCAAATTCTATTTTTCTGCAATTTCATTGGCTCTTCAAAAGAGTGCGATTTAAAACTCAAAATGGTGCGATTCGTGATTAAATCGCACTGCTGGGAGCCAATCAAATTGTAGAAATCACCAGCGATTTCAAAATGGATGTAATTATATCTAGGACTGTTATGAATTTGTCCTTTTCTGTGAATTTGTGAAATTCATAATATCCATGCATTTTAGCTGCAGAGGTTTTTGCTTTTCTTTTGAGAATGGGACTGACTGGATCTGTTAGGTATAATCTGAGTTTATTCTACGTAATTAACATATCAATAACATCAGTAAAAGCAATTACTAACTTCATAAGTAAATTCTGATTATTATTATCGAAGGAAATTGGATCCATATTCAAATCAATTGTTAAGACTTTAGACGAATACTTTTAAAAGTGAGACCTAACAAATAGTTATGACTGCCTCAGCGGCATGAAGAACCTTCTGTTGACATTTTAGGACATTTTTCTTTGTGTTCTATCGAAGGTGTTGACTTTTCTTAAGGTAACATGATCAAAGAAGAAAAGAAACGTCATGCGAGAATGACTTTGTATTTCTACAGCGATGTTGGTTGAATGCTCATTGCACCTGACAGGTTAAGTAAACAGAGAAGTCACCGCTAACCGTTTTTCCCCAATTTTCACCCAAAGCATACATTCTTCTTTAAGAAAAACGTTTTTTAACGTGTTGTCATCAATTGTTTTCAAACGGTATTTTTACCTGGTTTTATTATTATAATAACAACAGATTTTTGTTCATCAATCAGAACTAGCCTCACTTCAATGGAAAATTGATTACGGAATAGTATCGAAGATGTTTTTGTTCCCCTGATATTTCTTATTTTCATTATCTTCTTTGACAGTATGATTGATGCTTATCAAGGTCAATAATTCGTAATCGGACAAACATGCTGACGGTTCACCAATATTGAAGGCCATTCTTTTGATATTAAACACGGATAGTCCACGGATATTGTGAACACTTCCTTTCGTAATTGGCCAAAACAAAGGTGCTTTAAACTCTTCTAGTTCCGAAAAGCAGAGAAGAGATTTCCGCTCTTTTTAAAAAACAGTAACTTGAATCGAAAGAGAGTAATTTGACACACATCTAGACTGTCTTCTAGCTTACGGATTAGTGTTTCAGTAGCGAAAAACTGCCGATTGGACTGCACATCTTTTAACTCACTGGGTGTCTCAATTTTTGTCGCATAATTCAGTAGTTCTGGCGATAAAGAAGGATTGAAGTTAATACGAGAGGACCAAAATTAAGAAACACCTGCGTCATATAATTTTGCAGTGAGGTTGGTTCGGTTAAGTATTCAGTGAAACTGCGCGCCGAGTTCCTCGCGAACGGAAGAACCGTCATCGAACTTTGAAATATTTCTGAATTTCTTGAATCCTTTGCGCTTGAGTCCTTCACAGATTCAGTTTAGCTACAAGATACGAATCAAGATTTTTAGCACCATGAATGGTACATTCAATTCCACATTGACAAATTTGACAAATGATTGGATACCAACTACTGAGGAAGGATCAGAGACAAGTCAAAAAGCTGCAGGGAGTTCGGCTATGAATTCTTTAAGGACTGCATCATACTGTGTCCTCATCCTGCTGTCTTTGGCTGGAAACTCTTTCGTCATCGCGACGGTTGTCAGAAATACTAACAAACGAATGAGAACAGTTAGCAACATCTTCATCGTCAACCTCAGTATTGCAGATATCTTGGTGACCCTAATCAATATGCCAGGCAAGATTTCTCAGATCTATATCGGGAGGATGTGGTTGTTAGGAAAGTCAACAGGCTTTGAAATATTGTGTAAAATGATGAACTTTCTACCTTTCCTCGCTGTTTTTGTTTCAACGCAGAGTTTTGCAGTTCTAGCGTTGGATCGCTTTGTAGCGGTGTACTTGCCTGTTCGAAAACCTATCACAGCAAAAGTAGCGTACATATTGGTAGCCTTTAACTGGATCTTTGCAATGGCCTTCTTTTATGTTTATTTTCATTCTGCATCCATATGGACTCATGGAGATACATCCTATTGCTACGTCAACGCCAACGTAGTCTTTGGCAGTATGGAAAACTTTAACAAGTTTGTTTGGGTCGAGTTTACAGTGGTTACTATTCTACCTTTAACCATATCTTTCGTCCTCTACACTGCTACGATGATCAAACTGTGGAAACGAAAAATCCCTGGTTCAAATGCCACAGCCAACGCATCGTATTCTGACAGAGTAAATCGTAGAGTGTTGAAAATGTTGATAACAGTTTTCCTGGCATTTTTCTTCTGCTGGCTGCCTACATGGATTTGGATCATTGCTTGTAAAAGAACCGGGAAATCTTCAAATTTACCAGCCCTTTGCTCTGCAAAAAGTCAGTTCTCCATGACCAGGTTTCTTATCGCATATTCCAACAGTGCTATCACACCTTACATCTACCTTATTTTCAGTGAGAACTACCGACAAGGATTCAAGGATATTTTGATTGCTATGGCTTGTTGTTCATCTGTACGTAAAGTCCTTCGACGCAGGAACAGAGTTGAGGTTTTTACACTCAGTCAGTTTACTCAAGGGGATAGGCTTAGAACAAATACTGTTAGTCGACGAATGGAACGTTTGGATTTTACGACAGTAATCTAAACGAGAACACTTGCCTTATATGCAAACCAAAAATGCAAAGACTATTGAAAGTATATGTAGCCTAAAGACACGATTTTTGTTGAGGAATACATAGAAAGTACTTGAGTTTCGTATGATGTAATAAATATCTCATTTCGCCATAGTTGAAACACCCATTTTCTGCGTCCAAAACAGAAGAAGTGTCTAACACAGGCAAATAGGAGCAGTTTCAGTGTTGTATATATATTCTTTTAATAGGTAGTGGCGCGCTACTCTACTGGCTAGGCGCTAATTCTCTTGCGCGTTCATGCTGGACTCGGCAACACACCTGAGTAGAGTATGTTGAGGTCTCTACCTTGATTGAGAAGTTTTCTTTTTACTCTTCTTTCTCTTATTATACAAATAACCTTACACACTAAATCTCAATTTGATGCCGTACCCTGAATTTGATCAGCCCAGAGATTCAATATTTCAATGTTTGCTAAAATTGAATGGGTTTTGAATTAAAAGTTACTGTCAAAATTACGTCCAGAAAATAGACTTTGAAAGGGCTTTAGCATCTCTCTTTTCTGGAGCCGAAATAGCAAAAAACAAAAAAAACAAACAAACAAACAAAAAACAAAAACAAAACAAAAMAAAAGAAAAGAAAAGAAAAGAAAARAMAAAACAAAACAAAACAAAAAACAAAAAAAACAAAAACAAAAAAACACATCTATTTAATTTTCCAGTAATTTTTCTTCGCGCAGATGTTTGTATCGGACGTAATTTAGCATCAGAAAACTATAAATTGAATTCAATTTGATAGCCTTTTTTAGACCAAATGTATAGCTCTTGTTTGACTAGTTTGAATTTGAATTCTGTAAATAAAGTGTCCATTTATTCATGATCAGTACTACTTATTCCTCTCTTTTGTGTGAGGCCTATGAGTTTTCTCATGTTCTCTTGTCATCGAAGAGTAAATTATAAGTGAAGCGTCAGTACCGGTTGAATTTAAGAGGGTTTTGACGAGACCGAGTGGAGCCAAGAGGAGATGAGGAAGATCGTTTCGTGTTGGTAAATAATATGGTCATTGTTTTATTGAACATGATGTTCAAACAAAAACGAAAAGAGAAGAGTGCTAATTTTTTATGGTAAGTTTTTTAGTCAATTAGTCAGATGATTAGTATAATTTGAAACTAAGGAAGCGCATTATCAAATAAGATTGAGGAATCTTGGGGTTGGGAGAAAGGATTTGATTGATCAGCTAATTGAGAAGGAGAAGAAGAAAGAAAGAAAGAAGAAAGAAAGAAAGAAAGAAGAAAGAAAGAAAGAAAAAAGAAAGA